GACCGTAATAAGGCCAACTGAAGAAAATGGAACAGAAGCACATCCTAGCTCAAGGCCTATATCAATGGTATGATAGGTATGTTGTTAAAAAGTTACAAATAGGCCTACTGAACTGAATGTGTTCAAAAAATTTTTATTCTAATGTCGTCATATACTTTTTTAATGCTCTAATCGTAATAATCTCATAACCTAACATGAAACATGCGTTGAAAAATCTTCCATTATATGGGAATTTATCCCCGATTAAAATGTCATAAACAAAGTTCAGTTATTAAGCAGAAAAGTGCAGTTTTTTAAAACAATCACGTTTTTGATGTGTCAGTTCATGGAGAGAAAACGCAAAATGCCCCTGAGAACATGACATTTTAAGTTCGCAACAGGTAAGTTACGCGCAATATTTTGGTTACGGACATATATTATACACCTAAGTCAGTTTTTACACGGACTTTTTGTACACGGTTTTGATATAACACGGTTTGAAAATTGAATATTTTTAATTTTTTTACACGATTTTGTTCCATTTAGCACGATTTGAAATTTTATGTACTTATTTTTTTCGGGTCAAATTTAATTTTTGCGAACTATGTTCATATCACAAAAAAAAATTATGAAAGAAAAAAGTCTGAAACCATCGATAGCGCGCACTAATTTAGGGGAATTCCCTTTTTTACACGACTTCTTCTGGAACCAATCTACCGTGTAAAAACAGACTCAGGTGTATAAGCTTGGCACCGACTCGAGATTGTCACAATCATATTCAATTAAGTAGTAAATTAAGTATGTAGATTCCAACCGTAGTAGATGTATAATAAAGTTTTATTTTTGTTTTGTAAATGAAAAATATGAACACCGAGTACACTAAGATTACTTTCCCATGTAACTGATTTTTATATAGTTGACAAAAAGCAGTTATAGCATGTATATATAAAGATGTCATTGAGCCAAAGTTCTGGTTGTGACTATTTAGACTTTTGTCATTTAATTTTGGCCTCGCTTCCTGTAATGACAAATATTTTAATTATATTCTTATCGATTTGAAAAAAAAAAACTAAACATTTAATAGTGACTTTCGAACTTACCCACATATTTAATTTCATCGAAGGCTTTTCTTGCCTTCTTCAACTCCTCGTTCATTGTTAGCAGGTCTTTGACACGGGCATACTTTCTGGGATCTTTACGTACCAAGAAGATAATATCCTCCACTTGTACTCTTCCGGTGCGTCCGATTTCCATAGCACGATGGGTCATTTCTGTTATAAATTCAATGACCAGGTCTTCCAACAAATCGACGCTCTCTGTGTATGGATTCTCATCGTCACCAAAACCATACATCATGCATCTTAATTCCTTGCTGAACAGACGTTTGCGTCCAGCATTTGTTGGCACAAACTGTTCCTCGCCTTCTTCTTCATCGAACTGTGAAACGGACCTTCATGAAACCTTTTTCGATTATTTGGTAAACTATTAATACCTACATCAACATTCTCAAATGGTTCATCATTATTTGCGGCCATCTTCGTTGGAATTGCTGAACAACTGTTTGCCTTCTCAGAAACTGAACCAGAATACAATAAAAAAGCGTTCCACCGTTCCATAAAAAGCGTTCCAGCTACAAATGGGTGAGAAGAAAAATGGCCGATAAAGAAGAAATTCAAAGTAGAAAACGGAAAATTTAAGAACAGGTTGTGATGGACACGGGTAGTATTGTTGAGAAAGAGAGTCATAAGAGAATTGCCGACTAGGGACTCCGCAAGTCGGCGTAAATGAATAGCGGAGGCAATAGAGAATAGCCGATAAAAAACAGATCGAGACAGAAATGTTTAGAACGAAAGCAAAGATGAAAGACAAAATTGTTTTATTCCTTCCTTCTTTCTAGTGTTTCACTTATTTGCGCGTTGCCACACGGTCAAGCGTTTGGTACTTTGTCAGTTGTATTTTAATTGGTCTGTTCCCGTACTATAAAGGGCCCCATACACTACACATCATGCCGTACAGCATTTATCATAGTATGTGTTATTTATTGAAAGTTTATTTATGCATGTGTGACACACACGATGCATGAAGAAAATCAAAATAGTTTTGATTTTGAAAATTAAACCCTATCAATCTGGTGAATAATATTCATTTGGAAAGTTGTCAGTAAATAATTTTGTGTACAAAAATAATAGAATTGTATCGAAATAAATTTACTGAATTTACGACTCAAAATGCAATTTTTGGGACAAAAATCGAATTTTTGGAATAGTGATTGAAGAGTTTGCCATACAATCTCACATACACAAAAAGGGGTTCATCGGCATGACGGCATGATTTATAGTGTATGGGGCCTATAAGAATCATGATGCAATAATAAGGTGATGTATACCAACAAAAACCTTTGTTTTTGTCTCGATTATCTGTCAAAATTTCCCATATAATATTTCAAATGGTTGGCAACACTACACATCGAATTCAAATAGAAAATGCCCACTTTGACAGTTAATCAAGACATCAGCTGCGCTAAATGGACTACCTATTCATTTGGTCTGTTCCCGTACTGCAAGAATCTACTCGATTTTACTATTTTCCTCGATATCATAAAGGAAAAAAGTGTTATCGGAGTAAAAAATAGTAGATTCTTGCAGTACGGCAACAGACCAATTGTGTCATGATAAGAATCTACTATTTTTACTACGATAACAATTGTTCTTTTATTCTGTGTTGTTTTGTTTCATCTTTTGATGATTATAATAATAAAACAATTGGTCTGTTCCCGTACTGCAAGAATCTACTAGATTTTACTATTTTCTTCGATAACATAAAGGAAAATTTGCTATCGTAGTAAAAAATAGTAGACTCTTGCAGTACGGGAACAGACCAAATATATTTGTTCGAGCTTGAGGTCTGGTTTCTCTTTTATTTTTTCACGTTCGATATTTCGCAATTGAATTAAATTGCATCCTCAGGGAAATCTACAAAAACTTTCCTTCCATACAACTTTGCAAATACATGGTTAGAACACTTAAGAACTTGACAATTAACTGAAAATACAACGTAATAGTACGTTTACATTGTACCAGATTTAGTTAACCCAATGGGTTTCAATTGTCAATTCCATTGCCTATTTGTCAAATAAATCCTCATAAAGTAGGCTAACCCTGCAAAAAGTTCCATCGTAAATGCCGTTTAAGGGACTCAATTGACTTTAAAAGGAAGATAACTAATTTAACTTCGGTGAGAATGACAAAATGGTATCGTTTGAAGTGATATCACGGTTCCCGAGCATACCAGTAGACCTAGGAATCAAAATAATAGAAGAAAAATGGGACGAAATACGAGAATACACTAATATGACAAAGGGCTTATTTTTCAGAATTCTTACGTTTTGTTTTAAGCACAACCGCTACTTCACGTATAATGACAAGGTTTACAAACAGAAAAAAAGACTGCCAATGGGTTCACCAGCTTCTCCAATTGTAGCTGATATAGTGATGGAGAAACTTCTTGATACCTGTATGGAACAACTAACGACGAAACCTACACTAGTAACCAAATATGTTGACGATCTTTTTGTAATACTGGGGGAAGATGCAATAACAGATACCTTGACTATTTTAAACAGCTACAACAACAATATAAAGTTCACAATGGAGAAAGAGAACAACGAATGTTTACCGTATTTGGACACGGTGGTGTATCAAAATAATGGTAAATTGGAACTGGACTAGTACCAAAAACCCACGGCATCGGGGAGGTCCATAAACTTCTTTTTTAAACACCCAAAACAGATAATAATGAACACGGCCAACAACTTAGCAAACAGAATTTTAAAAATAAGAATACTAAATAATCAGACACTACGAAGGAAACAGCCACGAACTGAGAAGGAAAGGACTTACAAATCAATGATTTACATCCCAAAAAACAGACCAAATATTTATATAACGTTGATTTTTTAACTGTTAAAAATGGTTATTTTTTCCGTTACAAATAAATCTCATTTGAGGAGAGATATTTTCTCCGTCAAAAATAAAAATCTTGTAGTGCTATTTTGTTGTTATTGTTGACCTGTGATATGTAAATTCTTTTTGTTTGGCTCTAGGTCAATTGAAAAACTCGTTGGTTATGGTTTTTAGTTTTTGTTTATTTTTATTTTCAAATATTCGACTGTCTTCGGCAGTCATCTTCAGGGAAATACTAAAACATACAAGTACTTAAAGAGATATAAACTTAATTATATTACACAAATCTTAAGGTTATGAGAAAAGCAACTGATTTTTATCACCGTCTATGCTAAACGTATTGTTACGATTTTGGATTTTAGTTAAATCCCGTGTAGACGTTGTTTTATTTCCCGATACAATTCGTACCAAATAAAACGCAGGTTCTTTCGGATTACGATTATTACAATGATTTTATTCACACAACTTTACTTTGCACTTTACTTTACTCGACGGTTTCAATTCGCGATCTGATTCACAACTGACTCACTGCCTGTCCATTTCCCCTATTTATATGAGCCTCGCTTGTCGCTACAGAAGTTTCTAGACGATCTGGTAACTCCTCGATCACGAACAATCTACCAATGCAACAAACACACATACAAACTTACTTACAAACTTACGCCAGTCATATGTGGAATTCAGAAACAAGAAGTCTAAACCCCGTAGAGTGAAACAGGGAGTTCCCCAAGGTGGGGTCATATCTCCGGAACTGTTTAACCTCTACCTTTCTGAAATTCCACAACCACCGGACGGCATTGAGATCGTAATGTACGCGGATGATTGTACGATCATGGCGTCGGGGCCTATTATCGATGACATTTGTGAAAGGTTAAATGTCTACATAGCTGATTTAGTACAGTTCTTCCATCTGAGGAATATGAAGATATCCGCCGCCAAATCCACAGCCACACTGTTCACCACATGGACGGCTGAAATGAAGCTCCCTCTGAACGTCATGGTCGATGGTGTAATAATTCCGACCACTAATTACCCAAAAATTTTGGGAGTAACGTTCGATAGCTTATTTAAGTCGTCCGCGCAAGCCACCGCTATTTGCGATAAGATGAGAAGTAGGAACAAGGTCCTCAAGTCGCTTGCCGGCAGCTCTTGGGGTGCTGATAAAGAGACCTTGTTGACCTCTTACAAAGCAATAGGTCGGTCGGTGGTAAGCTATGCGGCGCCAGTGTGGTATGCGAATGTAAGCGATACGCAGTGGAAGAACATACAAACCTGCCAGAATGCCGCCCTGAGAACTGCGACAGGGTGCCTCCTTATGACGCCAGTGGACCATTTACATGAGGAGGCAATGGTCTTACCCGTACATCGGCACAACAGGATGTTGTCGATGCAGTACCTGCTTGGGTGTTATCGCAGGAATCATCCATGCCATAATCTTATGGATAGAATTCCCCCACCCAGGCACGTAAGGAGAGACCTACATGATCTAGAGAGAGAGGTCCAACGGTATAAGAGAGAACCCCTAGATCTTGAGGCTTATCGAGCAGGAATTACCAACATTCACACGGAAGCAGTGACCCAGGCAATGGACCAATACCGTGTGAATGCTGTACTTGGAGTCCACCCACCACCTATAGCAGCAGAAGAACGTGAGCTGCCTAGACAAACGAGAGTGGTTTTAGCCCAACTAAGATCAGGATGGTGCAGCCGCCTCAATTCGTATTGGGCCCGAATTGACAGCGCGGTTCCAAACACATGCCCTGCATGTGGATTTGGACCCCATGATACGCTGCATCTCTTTAACTGCCCTGCTAAACCCACTCATCTGTCTCCGGAATCTCTTTGGACGCAGCCGTTACAGGTTGCAACCTTCCTGAACCTGGAAACAGAGGAGTCAGAACCAGATTAATACAACAAACATGAAGATAGTTGCTACAACAACAACAACAAACTTACATTGAGTAAACAATAACAACACACATACAAACTTACATTGACAGGCGAGGGGGTAACAAAGAAAGAGGAATTAAGCGATCATCAATGATGACGTTTAACAAGAATTGTACGACAATAACAAAATAGAAAATGAAAGAGGAAATGGAAGGATGTAGAAAAATCTATACAGTAGTTGTTGTTGTGAAGTTATTCAAATAAACTGCGTAGTAGAAATTTACGTTACAATTCAAATTCTTACATTAACGGAATTAATCTAAATTAACTTAAATCTAAAGTTATATTCGTAACAGTATGTATTGCGAAAGAAAGTTCCTTTCGCTTTCATGCGAAAGAATATCAATTTTGGTTCATATAAAAACTTTTTACAGGCAAAATAAGTCGAACGATAAACAACTCGAAAGAAAACGTAAACGTATTCTTTTTCTCTAAAAATTGGGTTTATGTATGACGGAACATGTTTTATAGGTATCGTTTGGACGTTTTATTCATGTTTTTGGAAAATAAAATTGTACAAAATTCTAACAAATACTGAAAATTTCCATTTGACATTTTTTTATATTCAAATGTGTGATTGTATTTGTGTAGTTCGATCTCATTTCCCATTTGACTCTCATTTATTGAACATTTGGTCTTTTCCCGTACTGCAAGAATCTACTACTTTTTACTACGATAACGAATTTCCCTTTATGATATCGAAGAAAATAGTAAAATAGAGTAGATTCTTCAGTACGGGAACAGACCAATTGTTGTAAAACTTTACATATAATTTAGTAGTTTTTCGAATGGTATACGTAACGGCAAACGAACGATAGCTTTCGAAATACATGAATGATTTTTTAAACGAACGTGAGTGAGTTACTTTCATTCTCATTGATTTTCGTTCGAAATAGAAAAACATGCTGTATGTTTCTCTTCGTCTGTGCTTATGAACAATATTTCTGTAAATGTGTGCACAGTGGTCCGTGTTAGTCTTATAATTCGTTTATAATTATTTTCCTGTGTCAATATGTCTACGTCTTTAAAATTCGGCGTCCAGTTTTTGTGCAATGCCGTTTCATGCTCTAATACATTCATGGAACATGGAAGGAACACCACTTAGACCAATATGCTCATCCATTAACTCCCCAACATATGAGCTCTCAAAATACATAGTGGGTGTTTTAAAGAATTTAACTAAAAATTCTATATACAACATTAAAGACGCCGTGGAAATTAAAAGAAAAATTATTGATATAAAGATTAATGAAGACGAAGTTCTACTATCCTTTGACGTAGTATACCTATAAACTTAGCATTGAGGACAATCACGGAAAAATTAAACATAATTAAGGAATACACAAACATACCACAGGACCTCTTCATCGAAATATTGACTCTTGGTATAAAAGACTCAAGATATTTCATATATGAGGACAAGGTGTACAAATAGCGAAAAGGACTTCCAATAGGCTCTCCATCGTCACCGATTATTGCAGATATGGTAATGGAGGAGTTATTGGACGCTTCAATGGAGAAATTGACATATAAACCCAAATTAGTTGCGAAATATGTAGACGACATACTTTGCATAGTGAAATCATTTGACAAACATGTGCTCGAATTGGAAGAAAACCAAAAATTACCTTATATTGATGCCATAATAATCTGACAAGACCAAAAACTAACAATAGATTAGTACCAAATGCCCACCGCATCTGGACGATTAATTAACTTAATTAACGATTAATAATTACTCTAAGCATCGGAGACGAATAAAAATAAATACGGCCACAAATTACATCAACAGAGTACTTAATATAAGCGACAAACAATTCCACCAAAAGAACAAAGAAAGGATACAAAACATACTGAGGAATAATGATTTCCCACAGAGAACTATTGACGAACTACTAAAAACATCCAAGTACAAGAACGAAATGAAGAAAAAAGAAGAAAATTTTAAAAGGAAGACAAGTACAATATAGTATATAAGATAAAATGTAGTGGGGACAAATCCAACGTATGTCAAAAGGTATATGTTGGTACAACAAAAATTAAACTTCCGACGAGTCTTTCTGAACATAAGTCAGATCAAAACTCAGACAAACCTTTAAAACAAAAAACGGCGCTTGCTGCACATTGCACAAAAACTGGACATACGCCGAATTTTAAAGACGTAGATATATTGACACAGGAAAATAATTATAAACGACGATTCACCCTTGAAATGTTAAACATAATAATTTTACCTCACGATAAGAGAAAGAATTATAAGATTGACACGGACCACTGTGCACATATTTACAGAAACATAGTTCATAAGTACTATGTTTAGCATAGACGGTGATAGAAATCAGTTGCTTTTCTCATAACCGTAAGATTTGTGTAATATAATTAAGTTTATATATCTTTAAATACTTGTATGTTTTCAGTATTTCCTTGAAGATGACTGCCGAAGACAGAAAATAAAAATAAACCATAACCACTCAGTTTTTCATTTGACCTAGAGTCACACAAAAAATCCACAAGATTGCTATTTTTCTGCCAGATTATACTCATGTTTCCTGATATGTGACATATGGTTTGAGTTAACATAAGAATGTATTTAAAACAAAAAGATTTTCAGAAAACGTGAATTAAAAGTATAAGCAATGAATTATTATTATAGTCAAGAGAAAGATAAGTATTTTTTCTATTTAGATACATAGGTGATGCACACAAATAAATTGAAATTTCGGTGTAAGCGGCGTTTACATCAGACATTTCTTAATTAATACGATACAATATAAATGTACTATAAAACAGGAAACAAAAAGTTAGAAAAAACAAAATTAAACGCCGATACTATAGTTCCACAACATAAAAGAATCTACTAATTTTACAAGTTTTGCAACATTTTACTCGAAAACCGTTCCTGAACCCACAAAAGTGGTAAAATTTTAAATCAAATTTAAGAGAGCACAAAACAAAGTGGCGTTCTCTTGGTAAACTTTTTACTAGAGAAATTTGGCCGAGTAAAAATGGTAAACAGGAATGCCTACTTCTGATTGGCTGTTATGTTGATTTTGAAGTATTGCCATCTAATTTTGGCATATTTACTAGATATGCGTTCCCGAACTTTTCAAATTATTTTGTACTCTGAGAGCGATTTTGTAATGTTTCCCTTTTACTAGTTGTACTACTAAAAAAAGTACTGGAACAGACCATGTACTTTCTCTATCGTCTGTAGCAAGGCACATATATTAGGTAGTCGCATCGGCGAATTACTACAACAAAGCAATTTTTTTGGTAACATAATATGTCAAAATTTGTAAACAAGGCAAATAAAATTTAATTCGCCTTGACATTTCAAAATTTAGGCAAATTTAATTCAACCAATCAGAACAAAATATTTTTGTTTGTAACATTAAATGTCAAAACAAATTGTTGTAATTTAGAATTCGTCTTAATAAATACATAACGTAAATTCAATTTTGAAAGTAAAATTGAAGTCGTAATTTTTGTGATTTGTGATTAAAGAAGCGACAAAATGAGAGTGTGTTGCATTTGTAAGAAAAAAGATGTTACTGGAGAAGTAACCTTTTTAGTGTTTCAAAAGATGTCGCAAGGAAAATGGATTGGGAAGCAGCTTGTGGAGTTCAATTAACTCCAACATCAAAGGTATGTTTGGACCATTTCAACCCAAAATATTTTACGACTGTTACCACTCGCAGTTCCAGAATTGCAAAAAAAAAAAATCAAATATTTTTAAGGTAAGTAATCTTTTTAAATCCGATTTTATAAAATTTGTTAATGACTGGTTTAATATCCATAATTCATCACTCGGTACTTTTGGTCTGCCTGGAAAGGTAAATGTTATATCCAATACACCAAACCACGGATATAAGAACATCTTATATAAGAAAAACATGTTCTTATATCCGTGGTCCAAAACTCTATTTCAAATATATTGAATTTACTTTAGGAGCCATATGGAATGAAATTGGAGGAACAGAAAGAAATATTATTAAAAATGAACCAAATTATGTCTCAACCAATTATTCCAAATAAGAAAACCTTGGAATTCTTCCAAAAAGGCATTTTAGTTTCAAATAATATTATAATATAATATATTATAATATAATATTATAGAAAATGGAAATTGCTGATTGAAATCTTTCAATCGAAATATGAGACGTTACAAACTCTTGGATCCACACAAACTTATAACCTTGTTATGTAGGGTACATTAGTAGTTTCTTCTGATTGGTTAAATCAAATTTGCCTATGTTTTGAAATTCTAAGGCGAATAAATTTTTTCAGTTTTTTTTTGCCTTGTTTACAAGTGTTGACATATTATGTTACCAAAAAAGTTGCTTTGTTGTAGTAATTCGACGATGCGACTACCTAATTCATGTGCCTATGTGTTGCCTCAAGAGTTTGTAGCTGCACTACTCCCAGACTCAAATTTTTGTATATCGTTTATCATCTGTCCGTCTGTCCATTATAATTT